TTAGCATTCGTGGTACCGCCGTTGGTCCCCGCTAGGTTAGCATTCGTGGTACCGCCGTTGGTCCCCGCTTTCTTGAGGCTTCAACAGTCTTCTTATCAGAAGCCAGCCCTCTCCCTCCCCTTCTCCCTGAAGCTATTGTCTTGCCCCGCTGTTAAGCATTTCCTGTTGGGGGTCTCAGGAGGTTGGAAAGCCGTTGAAATCCCAGGGAGCAGATATTGGTGCTGGTGCTGGGATAGGGCCTCGGGACTTTAAATTCCGCATGCCTGGACCCTGCTCTTTCTGTCCCTAAAGCCTCTCCCCACATCCTTGCTGCCCCTTCTGCCCCTCCCCCAGCAGTGCCTCGCTCATCAGTCGGTGCAGCTTGGAAGCTTGTCTAAATTCCAGAATAGTTGCTGCTTGCCGGCTCTGGCCGTGGGAGTTGCTGCAGGCTACCAGGTCAGCCAGAATCCCACCTTGGGCCGCTGCCATCCCCAGCACCCGCTACGGCTCTGTGTCACAGCCAAGCCCTGGAGAAACACTGGTCACGTGATTTCTAGGAACTGAAACTAGACTCAGTTTTCTGAAGCATTTCCTGGACCAGACAGACAACACTCCACGCAAGGAGGGTTTTCGGGCCCGAGGACAGGCTCACCGCAGGCTCCCGCAGCGAGAAGGCACGAGGCTCCAGGGCAGCCACAGGAGTTACCTGGGCAGGTAACCACCTGTCTCCCCTTGCTCGCAGGTGGACATCCTTCTGTCTATGCAGTGGGGGCCAAGCGCCCTGTGTGCACAGACCCGGGGCTGGGGGCAGGGTGCTACTCCCAGAAGATGCGCAGGGCCACTGCGTACAGTTGGGCAGGCTCTTCACTGCAGGAGGCAGGAGCCAAGGGGGCAGGCGGCGGTATGGCCTCTCCCGCTGCATTCTGCCCAGGCCCGCCTGCCCACCTGCAGGAAGTGCACCTTCGCCTGGTTTGCACACGCGTGCCACGCGGGGTGCTCCCGCCTTCCCACCATGCATGCGCCTCGGGCTTGATGGGCCGTTTCCTCGTGGCCCTGAGCTCCTGTGCAGGTGAACACACCTGGTAGCCTAGGATGTCCTGGGAGTAGGGAGGGTGACCGGCTGTCCTGGTGCTCTCGGGACCGAGGGGCTTCCCGGTCACCTGGCCCTTCAGCCGTCTTCTGAGATGAGTGCAGTGAAGCGAGGTCTGCCTTATGCGTTAGCCCGGCAGCCTCCCCGCGTTTCAGCTGCTTCGCAGGTGAGCGAGGTGTTAGCTAGAAGGCAATTCTCGGGCACGGTCAGGATTCTGTGAGCTTGTGCGTTGGGCAGGGCTGGCTCGGGGCGTCCTTCAAAGCTTCCCGTGTCCCCTGGGGGTCTTGTAAATGCAGGCATCAGTGCTGCATGCTGCCCCTGAGGTCACCAGGCCCTGATCTTGTCACGGCGCTCAGCAGGGCCTCCAGCAGCCTGGTCCTGAGCTTGCTGGACAGCAGGGAGCAGTGTTAGGGGCGTCTGTGATTCTTACTGGGCCAGAGGGGCGATGACCTGTCCAGCCCTGTGCACACTCACGGGATGTGAGGAGGGGAAGCAGGTTAAGATGCAGCCGGGGGTGACAGGCCACTACAGATGATGGAACAAGCAAGAGTGGGGAGGAACATGAAGGCCCAAGGCCTGGGTCCTCCCCGGCCCTGCCCCTGCTGGCTGTGGGGTCTGGTGGCCCCGTATCCCCACACCTCGGTTTCGTGGAACACTAGGCCAGCCGACCCCAGCGGCGGCAGCGCTGTGTCCGTGCGGAGCCTGCTCGCCGTATTCCCCACCCGGCGGTGCATTAACCAGCAGCATGCCACGCGCTGGCTTGCAGTTAGCGCGGCCTTCACTGTGCTGACTGACTAGTCTGTAGTGAACAGGTTCACACGGGTGTCACCCGATCTTTGCCGTGGTGAAAACCAGGTGAAATTGTCATTACAGCTGAGTCTGTGAGCGCACGTGTGTGTGTGCCTGGTGTACCGGGTAGTCTCTCACTGTCCCCACCCTGTGCGCCTGCGCGGCTCCTGGGTTCAGCCCCCCCCACTCCCCCACCCCACTGCGACCCCTCCTCTCCATCACCCCCACCCAACACCACCAGCCCACACCCCTCACTCCCGGGGTGTCTCATGCCTGCACTTCTGGGGCACCTCCCGACAGCCCCCCCTCCTCTGCACAGTGCAGCCCGAGGGCCTTTGTCCCCCCAGTCACAGGGGGCATGCCTGCGAGGGTCGGTCACCTTCACACAGCCCTGATTCCTAATGAGACTCCACGGGCCTCCCCGTCTGGGCCCTGCAGACCCCAACCCCCTCCCCCATCACCTCGCCCGGTACCACGGGGCAGCCGGGTGCAGACCCGGCGGTGAGAGATCCTTACTGCCTGGAGCCCCCAGCCCACCCCTTCACCTGGCCAAGTCCTACTCAGCCTGAGGACCAGCCCTCAGTTGGGGTGAGGGCCCTGCTGGGGCGCCCGCAGCAACCCCAGGCCCCACCGTCCCGGCCTCTGTCACACTCAGTTACATGCAGTGGGCCCTGGGGGAGCAGAACCCACAGGCCTCTCGGTGCCATCTGAAACTGCCACACGGACCTTGGCGGGTCAGGGCTGCAGGGCACGCGGCCCCGCTCTGAGGACACCCCCTCCCCGCCCTGGTGTCTCCCTCTGCTGCAGGATCAAGGCTCCAGGCACAGCCATGGCCATCCCCCAGCTCCTCTGGATATGGCTGCTGGTCGCGGGCACCCACGGTGAGCATGACTCCTGGGAAGGCAGGAGAAAATGTCAGTGAAGCGGCTCTTCCTCAATCCGAGGTTACACTCCCACTCTCCAGAAAATTCCAGCAAATGTTCTGCTGGCGGCCTGGGTCTCCCCTCCTGCTTGAAACCCCAGTTGTCACCTGTGATGGGGGCTGGTGGGTTCTGGGGGGCCTGGGCTCCCCATACTCTCCCAGTACCTGTGTGGTGTCCTTCCTGCGGGCCATCAGGTGGGTGTGGGGCCACCAGGAAGAGGAAGGGCCTCCCATGCTCCCCATGTGACTGTCCCCAGGCCTGGCACCCCCGAGCCACATTCACCACGGGTGGGGTCAGACTGGGCAGCCTTCCCTGCCCCTGTTCCTGCAGCCCGGCCACCTCCACTCCAAATGCTGAGCGCAGGTGGCTCCTTCTGCCCCTTTCTGTGGGACAAAGGGAGGCTAGCTTACCTCTGTGTTGGGGGGTCTATGAGTATCTCCCACTCCTCCCCAGTGGGTGACCTCCCCCCAGGACAGGCAGGGGCCTTCAAAGTGGCAAAACCAGACCCCAGGCTCACTGGTCAGAGGCTCAGCCCTAGTTGGACAGAGCTGCCACCATGAAAGCACAGGGCAGCTGGTGGGCCTGGGGTGGGGCCGGGTGCCTCCCATCACCCTGTCTGATCTTCACTCCCCTCTGCCCCCTCGAGCCTGCAGGCCTGGAGGACGGCAGCATGAGGCTGATGGATGGAAACATGGCCAATGAGGGCCGCGTAGAGATCTTCTACAGGGGCCAGTGGGGGACTGTGTGTGACGACAGCTGGGACCTGACGGATGCCAGCGTGGTCTGCCGCGCCCTGGGCTTCGAGAACGCCACCCAGGCTCTGGGCAGTGCGGCGTTCGGGCCAGGTAGGGCCTCTGCTCCCCGGTCCTCCAGAGCCAAGACACAGCTGACCTGCAAGTCCCCTTGGTGGGCACGGCCAGCATCAAAGACATGCAGGTTTTCAGTGATGCTGAAGCCCTGGGGATAGGCTTTGATGGCAGACTCACCCCCTCTGCCCGGCCTCACCGAGGCTGACAGGCACGGGATTCAAGAGCTCGGCCTCGTTCCTCCCCCTTGGGCAGAAACCCCAGGCCTGGACATTTATCTCCTTAAAACAGTCCCCCTGGAGGAACAGCTCTGCGTGGAGGATTTTCACTGCTGCATGTTTGTGATTCTGAAAAATTGGAAATGATCTAATTATCCAGCAATGGGGATAGTGGCACCAATTATGGAATACTAATTTGATGTCTGAAGGAGCCCTGGTGGCATAAACAGTTACGCACTCGGCTGCTAAATGAAACGTTGGCGGTTCAGACCCACCCAGTGGCTCTGTGGGAGAAAGACCTGATGACCAGCTTTTGTAAAGATTACAGCCTAGAAAACCCTACGTGGCAGTTCTATTCTGTCACATAGGGTCGCTATGAGTCGGAAACAGCACAGCAGCACACAACAACAGCAATATTATATTCCCGAAGCAGCCGTTAGACTTCACGAGGATGAAGGCTAAATTTATGGTCTAATGTTACAGTAATAATCCAAACCCCAACCTGAATATTCACTATGAGCACACCTGGTAAAAGGCATATATACTTGTGGATGAATCTTCACAGCAGCCAGGGGCAGATTAACCAGTAAGCGAGGTACCCGCGGGCTTAGCTGTGTTTACTTTCTAATCCGGAGGGCACAGTCTCGCCTGTGGTGGAAAACAGGTGAAATCGTGCCCTCCGGCTTAGTCAGTAACCACAACAAGCCTGGGGGTACCTCGCTTATCGGATAATCTGTCTGTGACAGCGGCGTTACCCACAATAGCGGAAAGGTGGAAACGACCCTCATGCCCATCAACAGATGAGTGGATACACACAGTGTGGTCCATCCATACGATAGACATTACTCAGGGCTAAAACGGGATGAAGTTCTGATGCGTGCAGTGACATAGATGGACCTTGAAAACATGCCAAGCGAAATAAGCACAAAAGCACAGAGACAGGAAGTAGGTTAGTGGTTACCAGGAGCAGGGGAGGGGGATTGGGGAGTTCTCACTGAAGGGGTACTGGGTTTCTGTTTGGGGTGATAAAAAAAGTTTCGGAAATGGATAGCGGTGATGGCTGCACAAGGTGGAGAATGTAATTAACACCACTGAAGGGCACACTTAAAAACGGTTAAAGAGGCAACCTTTGCGTTATATATATTTTACCAATGAAGTTTGCGTTATATATCTTTTACCAATGAAGTTCTTTTTAAAGGCATCTGTAAATACAAGCACGCAGGGAAGGGAGCGTGAACAACAAAGAGCTGTTTAATTGACCGGTAGGCTGCCGGGGGTGGTGGTTTCCTTCTCTCTGAAATACACACGTCCTTTCTCTGGTCCTCGGGGCTGCCCGCTCCTGGCCGGGAGCCTGGGTCCCCCTGCAGCCGGCTCTGTCCTCCCTGTGCCCGCAGGAGCGGGCCCCATCATGCTGGATGACCTGGAGTGCACGGGGACCGAGCCGTCGCTGGCCGACTGCAGGTCCAGGGGCTGGCTGAACAGCAACTGCCAACACGAAGAAGACGCCAGCGTGACCTGCACCAGCAGTGAGTGGACGGGCGCCTTCCCCCAAACCCGGCCCCTGAGTGTAGGGGGCCCGAGCCCTGGGGGCCCAGAACAGGGCCTGCCGTGTCTCTGGCCACCCAGCACACTGCCTCCCCGCACGCCTCACACCTGTGCCACACGGGTTCTCAGGTGAGGGCAGCTTGCCTGGCAGTGCTTCCTTTAACCCCGCCGTCGGGCAGGGAGCTGCTCCAAAACAGGACTCCTGCATCTCTGAGGTGACGGCTTTCAGGGACCGAGCTCCACGGTTTTGTCAGTGCACCTTCCGGAAGGTTCCACAGTGCTCCATGCAGAGCCTGCTTTAGGCATTTCTCGGTGACGGGGGGTGGGGATCTGACTGGCAGGGAGGCCCCCCTCGGCCCCACCCAACCCTTCCCTCCTCACTCCCCCAGTGAGCCCAGACCACGGGGAGGCCCCACCTGACCCTCATACCCCCAGTGAGCCTAGACCACGGGGAGGCCCCCCTCAGCCCCTCACTCCTCACACCTCCAGTGAGCCCAGACCACGAGGAGGCCCCACCTGACCCTCACTCCCCCAGTGAGCCCAGACCACGAGAAGGCCCCCCTCAGCCCCTCACTCCTCACACCCCCAGTGAGCTCAGACCACAGGGAAGCCCGCTTCGGCCCCTTATTCCTCACACCCCCGGTGAGCCCAGACCATGGGGAGGCCCCACCTGACCCTGACTCCTTACCCCCCAGTGAGCCCAGACCACGGGGAGGCCCCCCTCAGCCCCTCACTCCTCACACCCCCAGTGAGCTCAGACCACAGGGAAGCCCCCCTCGGCCCCTTACTCCTCACACCCCCGGTGAGCCCAGACCATGGGGAGGCCCCACCTGACCCTCACTCCTCACACCTCCAGTGAGCCCAGACCACAGGGAGGCCCCCCTCAGCCCCTCACTCCTCACACCCGCAGTGAGCCCAGCTGCTTTGCACAGTTGAGGCCTTGAATCCGGTTGTTGGAGCTGCTCTTTCCCCGCTCACTGCCAACTGCCCCTTCTTCCTGCTGCCTGTGCACGGGTGGGGGCACCTCTGCCCACCCACCACGGGCTGCTCCTGAGCTGCCGGGAGCCGGTGTGTACGTGTGCAGATGGAGTGAGAGGCTCACGCCGGGTGGGTGGTGTCGGGACATGCCAGACTGTGAGCCTAGGGATGCAGGGGGTGATGCGGTGAGAGGGGCAGCTGTGAGGAGGGCAGGCTGGAGGCCGGAAGCTGGGAGCTCCAACATGTTGGGGCAGGAGGAGCAATAGGGGCTGGACCCCCTCGGGGTGGCTAAAATGTAGGGATTGACTCAAACCTGTTTGGGGCCACTAGGGAAGAGGTGGGACTTAGTTATCGGTTAGGCTGTGAGAGTGGATGTGGGGAGGCAGCAGTCCATCACAAGCGCTTGTACTGCCCTGGGAGCCTCACGTGATGTGGCTGGGCCTTGGTTTCCCCTGAGGAGGCAGCCAAAATCATGTTCCAAAATAGGATTGCCAGAGGACTCCAACTTCTGAGGCCATCTAGCCAGGGAGGTGGTTTTGGTTTTAGAAGGGTAATATTGGGGGTGATTAATCACTTCGTTGGATTTTAAAAAGGATAGATGGGTGACAGCATGTGGTATGTGTCTACAATGAGTATTATGCAGGCATACAAAAAGGAAAGAAGTTCTGCTACAACATGGATGAACCTTGAACTTGTGATGCTGAATGAGATAAGGCAAACACAGAAGAGCAATAGTGTACGATCCCACGTACATGGAATGTCTAGAAGAGGTAGATTCATAGAGACAGAAAGCAGACACGTTATCAGGGGCTGAGGGGCGTGGGGAGCGACCGGTGACTGGGTACAGAGTTTCTGTTTGGGGCGATGGAAAGGTTTTGGAAATAGATGGTGGTGATGATTGTGCAACATTGGGACTGCACCAGATGCCACTGGACTGTACACTTAAAAGTGGTTAAAATGGAGAATATTATGTTATATATATTTTGTCATAATTAAAAAAAAAGGTGGGGCCTAGGGCTCTGGAGACTGGGGCCCCTGAACCCCCTGTCTGGAGGCACGGCCTGAATTTGAGGAGCAGGTGAACTAACCGAGGGGCGGAGCAGAGGAGAGGGCCCACAACGGGGAGCAGAGACTGGACCAGGGTCTCAGCCTTGCCGCTTGTTCAGTGGGGTGCGTGGGCGGAAAGGACTCGGGTCACCACTGGCAGTGACACCCTGTCTTCCAGAGGAGGCTTTGCTTCATCAAGATCCTGCAGGTCAGATCCCTCGTCTTCCCGAAGCCCCTCAGAGCAGACAAGGCAGGGACTGTCCCCGCAGTTAAGGGTCCCTGCGTGGTGCAAATGGTTTGTGCTCAGCTGCTAACCAAAAGTCCACCCAGAGGCACTGTGGAAGAAAGGCCTGGTGATCTACTTCCAAAGACTCAGCCACTGAAAACACCGTGGAGCGCAGTCCTGCTCTGACACACGTCGGGTCACATGAGCCGGAGTTGCCTCGACAGCAGCTGGGTTTTTTTGTTTGTTGGTTGATCACCGTAGTTTGGGGCAGAAAGTGTTTTTCCAGGTCTCAGAGCGAGCGTCTGACGCCTGACCCAGCATGTCTCCCCCTCCCCTCGTAGAAACCATAAGCTACCCAGCCGTCCACATCCTGGATTTCTCCAGCGAGCTCTCGACGGCCCTGAGCGGAGTCTTTGACAGCCAGCAGAGCTGTGACCTGTCCATCCAGGTGTGGGCCAGGGGGGAGGAGGCCCTGAGCGTCTGTGCCCACACACTGATCCTCTCCACCAACCCTGAGGCCCGGGACCTGCTGAGGGAGTCAGGCAGCAATGTCACCATGGAGGTGGACGCCGAGTGTGTGCCTGTCGTCAGGGACTTTATCAGGTGAGCCACCCTCTGGAGCTGGGGTCTTGGTACCAGATGGTGCCAGGGGCTCCGTGCTCCTCCATTTCTACAACCAAGGGAGGGGCACCAGTCACAACAATACTTTTGTGTATACACAGCACACAGACACACGCACACACCACACAGACACGCACACACGCCACACAGACACACCACACAGGCACGCACACACACACCACACAGACACGCACACGCATACCACATATACACACCACATACCACACAGACACACCACACAGACATGCACGCACACACACACCACACAGACACACCACACAGGCACACGCACACACACACAACACAGACACGCACACACATACCACATATACACACCACACACCACACAGACATACAGACACCACACACATACACACACCACACAGACACACACACAGACACGCACCATAGAGACACCTGCACACACACATCACGCAGACACACATACCACACACACACCATGCACATATACACATATCACACCACACACACATCACACCATGTACACAAACACTATGTACGCACACACACATCACACACATACACCACACACAAAACACACCACGTGTACCCATCCCACATTCACCACACACACACCACGTGTGCACACCACACGTAAACACAACATATCCAACATGCCTCAGACACATTTACACACACCATGTACACACATAGATGCCACACATACACCGCATGCACATGTACACCACACACACACACCCACGCCCCCCACACGTGCACACACGTGCACACACACACGTATACTAATTCTCACAAAACACAATGTAAAAATCTCGCTGTGCAACCACTCAACATTACGAGTTAAAAGAAGCTTTCAAAAGCCTTGCGGATTACGAACTTGACAGGAACAATCCTTGCTGGCTTTGTAAAGTGGTTGGCGGGGCGACGCGTGAGTGGTCCTGTGGAAACAGTGCCAGGAAGCGGGGTGTTTGGTGAAGCTCAGACAGCGGGGACCGCCATACCAGCCACGTGGCGCCAACCTGGCCTCCCGCCAGCCCGGGGCGCACAGCCAGCAGCCACAGGGCTGAGGACACAAGCCCCCCGCCCGCACCCCGTGGGCTCTGGGAAGATGCAAGACGGACACTGTCTATGCCGTACAAAATGTACGGGACACGTTGGCAAACAGAAGGAGCCCTGGAGGCACAATGGTTAAGCGCTCGGCTGCTAACTGAAAAGTTGGCAGTTTGAACCCACCCAGTGACTCCGCAGGGGAAAGGCCTGGCGATCTGCTCCCCTAAAGATTGTTGTTCTTAGGTGCGGTCGAGTCGGTTCCGACTCGTAGTGACCGTGTGTCCAACAAAACAAAACACGGCCCGGTCCCGCGCCATCCTCGTGATCGTTGTTACACTTGAGCCCGTTGTTGCGGCCACCGGGTCAGTCCATCTCACTGAGGGTCTTCCTCTTTTTCGCTGACCCTCTACCAAGCATGATGTCTTTCTTTACAGCCTAGGAAACCTTATGGGGGCAGTCCTACTCTGTCCTGTAGGGTCGCTGTAGGTCGGAGTCCTCTTGACGGCACACAACAACATCAGCAAAGCAAACAAACAGAACTCCGCAACGACCTGTCTCTTACACCTCTCACCCTGAGAGTCTTCCAAGTCCCTGAAAATTGTCAGGTTCAGTCCGCCTCTTCTCATCTGACCTTGCTTCTGTGAAAGACAGAAAACCCACAAGGGCAAAAGTGTTCAGCAGGGAATCGCCGGGAAGGCGCCTTTCAAGGCAGCAAGCACACAGCCTTAAGGGCTTGGCGCCGGGCTTCGTGTTAGGATTAATGAGGTCACCCGGTTCCCACTGGTCCCACTTCTTAGGTAAAGCAGGTGACATTCCCGGGGCCTGCAAGCTGCACAGGGCACCCTGGGCATCAGCGGCCAAGGTAGAGCCCCCCCTTGAGCCTCCGTCCTCACTCTCTGTCGGGAGGTATCCGTGATATCACCCCAAGGAAGCCTTGGAGGAACTTGCAGCCTTCTATAACTGAGTATGACAGTTGCAAGAAAACACTAAGTGGCAGTTAAGAACAGATTAAGATGGCTTTGTTCCAGCCAAGCATAAAACCTGGACGGTGTCCTCCCCTCCTCGTGGGCATTGCTGGGACATCTTGGGACTCTGGCAGGTACCCTTCCCGCCTCCTGGGCCCGGTTGGAATCGCTGTCCTCTGCCAGAGCCCAGGGGTTCTCTGGAGGGCACATGAGTATCCCGGGCCGCTGCAACAAATGGGCCACAGACCAAGTATTTAAACCAACAGAAATGTATTCTCTCGCAGTCCCGGAGCCCTGACATCCGAAATCAAGGTGTGGACAGGGCCATGCTCCCTGCAGAGGCTCTAGGGGAGGATCCTTCCTTCCTTCTTCCGGCTCTGTGGGCTGCCGGGTCCTTGCCGGTCCTGACTTAGAGCACATGGCTGCAGTCGCTGCGCCCTTCGTGTGTGGTCCTCCCTTTGCATCTCCCCGTGTCTGTCTCTGCCTTCTTAGAAGGACACCGCCACAGTGGGTCAGGCCCACCTCCTCCAGCGTGACCGCGTGTTAGCTGGTGACCTCTGCGAAGACCCCATTTCCAAACAAGGTTGCGCTCACAGCGCCGGGAGTTAGGACTGCTGCGTGTCTTGTTTGGGGGACACCGTTCAACCCGTAACAAGTATTCTCCCCAGGTACACAGACCACACACACACACACACACACACACACACACTCATTCACACACACGACACTCATGCACACACTCACCCATGAACATTCACACAGACAACACACAATACTCACGCAGACAACACACCACAGGTACACACGTGCACACACTCACAGCCACACACAGCCACACACTCACACACAGTACACATACTCAGGACACAAAGACATGCAGACAGACACATACATACACTCACACAATACTCCCACACTCCCACACACCACAA